GCCATGAGGGCGTCTACGTAGAATTTAAGTCATCCAATCATATCATGACACATAAGTTTTTTGATTTGTTATTTTTAAAAATGTTAATGTTACTAAGCAAAATATGTATAAGGGAAACTTTAAAAAATAAAACATTATATATAATTTAATTTTAACATTAAAATAACAAATTATCTTAATTTTAATATTTTGGAAAAATACAATATGACTATAACGACCACATATGATTTAAGTATTCCAATCATATCATGACACATAAGTTTTTTGATTTGTTATTTTTAAAAATGTTAATGTTACTAAATAAAAAATAATAATAAATATGTATAAGGGAAATTTAAAAAAGAATATCATTATATATAAGTTAATTTTAACATTTATAGATTTTCGAAATTAATTAAAATAACAAATTATCTTAATTTTAATATTTCGGAAAAAGTCAACATGACTATAACGACCAAATAGAATTTAAGTCTTCCAATCTTATCATGACACGTAAGTTTCTTAATTTGTTATTTTTAAAAATTTTAATGTTACTAAATAAAAAATAGTAATAATAATAAATACTAGACCATGACCCGCCCGACCGGGCGGGTGTTTTGTTTTCTTTTAATATTTAGCTTTATACTAAAAGATGTAAATAAAAAATGAAGTATCAATTAAATGGTTAAAAATTACTTATGAGTTTAATTTTGACAGAAGAATACCGAAAAATTCGTTGTTTGCTCCGCGCAAGTGTTTGTTTTTATATATTTTATTAGTGATAATATATATTTCTAAATTTACCCGTTTAAATAATTGTTTAAAATGACATTTTAAACACACAATTTTATAGTTTATATTGAGTAATTTTATTTTATCTTATAAACTATCATTGTGTCATACTTATTTTAAAAATAGGACATGTATATCTGCACAAATGTTTTTATTTTATTTTTATGGATCAAAATTTTATGATAATGTATAACTAATTTTTTTTATTTACTATTTAAAATATATGGTCCTATATATTTCTACTTTTTAAATTTTATTATTCTGAATTTACCTTGAACTATTATTTATATAAAAATATACATAACATGATATGTTTATATTAATCTTTTTATTATATATTATATAAATGTTTCTTTTTGTGACTTTTTATTTTAGTTATTACTTATAAATAATAAAAATATAATTATATATCTTTGAAAAAAATATTGTTCATTAACTATTTAAAGATATGTAGATAATTAATAAGAAAAAAATCTTAAAAGGTAGGTTAATTAATATTGGAATTAATTATTATGTATATGGAATTAGTAAAACAATTTTTATATAATTTATTTATTTAATTACGAAAGGTATATATGAAAAAAAAATATTTTCATTAATTATTGTTGCCATAATTGTTTTTAGTTAAAATTTGATTTTGGAAATGCATTAATTAAAGTGAAAAGACAAAGAATCCTATAAGGTAGGGTAATTAATAACTTCAGTGGCATGCTATTGTAAATAAAATTGAAAACTAAGGGGTATGTTATATGGGTACTTCTCTTTTAATAATATAGATGTATAAGGGAAACTTAAAAAAGTAAAATATTATATATAAGTTAATGTTCACATTTATAGATTTTCGAAATTAATTAAAATAACAAATTATCTTAACTTTACTATTTCTGTAAAAGTCAATATTAAAACAATTATTAATTTCAAAACAAAATATAAATTAATATCAAATATGAAAAAATTACAAAAATAAAACATCAT